GGCGTCCTCCCCCCTTTGTGGCGATCACGAAAGAGGAAGAACGACATGGATCATCCATGCCAGTTTAAGTTGATGAGATTCTACACATGATTCTACCATTGGTGGAGTCAATCTCCGCCTTTATCATGGTTGAAGGGATGACCGACCATCTTCCCTGGATGCAGATCTCCCATTCGATCCAACTATACATCCTCAGCGAGGTAGTTGAATCCTCCAATCAATGGACATGGCCACTCGGAAGCGTTGTCAAAACATTGCTCCAAGTTGTGCACTGTGCCCTCCACAACCACAAAGATCGGTTTGCGATCGTCCTTGCCACTGCGGCTACAACAAGTGCAAGGTGCACCGCATCAAGAAAAGCCTTCGCAAATGGCATGCCTGACATCCACAAAGCTGTCTTTTGACGAACAAGGAAACCTCCGCCTCCATCTGGCCAATCTCGCAGGGTTGGTTGAGCGGTAAAACACCTTTGCCCTGCTCAAGGCTCTTGCCGGAGTCTCAGCCCGGTTGATCTGGTGGTGCTTCACCACGCCTTCATTTGTCATGTAGAACGAAACACTCAACTTGCCTCAAAACTGGGTTCATAACATGGCCACTCCAAACATCCACTGTCACACCTTCTCAGAATGGCCCGATGCCCTCATCGTTGAACCGATGAGGCCCCTCCCTTGACCTGCACTTTTCCGGTGCATTAGACACCCCCCCCTTTCGACCCCACTATAGTGGCTTTATCGTTACTAGTAGTGAGGCCAGGAGCCCCGTTCATAGCGTCCGATCGTTCCGTTCGTAGCGATGCCCTTTGCTCCTAGTAGCGTCCTTGTTCGCTTCGGGGCTGCTGAAAAGCGCGCAGAGTTGGGGCCCCTGTCCACCTACCACTCGCCTGCAAAAGCTCGGTGTAGATCCCTGCCGGGCAGGGCGACGGGGGACGGGGGAATCCCACTCAACATGACCCGCTTTCCGGAGAAACAACAAGGATCTATTACTAGTAGCTAGGACATCGCTACCAGTAACATGCATCGCTACTAGTAGCTAGAAGCTACTAGGGACAAGGGCATCCCTAGTAGTAACAAGTGCCTTACTAGTAGTAACAAGTGCCTTACTAGTAGTAGGCCTAGTAGCAACAAAAACGCTCAGTTGTCGCTTCCAGGGGTCGATGCCTTGAAGCGAGTGGTCCAAATGACACCAGTCACCTCTCCAAGCGGGACTTGCTCTCTAGCACCTTCCAACAGGTGCCTCTTGGCAGTTTTCAGTTGAAGCAACCGGGTTTACTGGGAACATGTTGTTTCTACTGCTAGTTTCTGTAGGGACAAGGCTGCCAACTGATGAGAATCGGCTGTAAAATCCTCGCATACCGATATGCCCCACGAGCAACCGCGCAGCTACACCTTCCATGGTCTCGTACAGGCTCAAGTCTGTCCTCTCCTCGGGTGAAGATTGGAGAAAGGAAGTCACATGATAAGTCTGCTAGCTTGTAAAAGGATCTCAGTCCATGTCACATCGGAGGCTCTCACCAATCGTGTTTCTGCTGTGCCACTGGACAATCAAAGTCATGCAAAATCCATCAGAAACAATGCAAAAACAAGGTCAAAGAGTGTGAATGGGTAACGCATGATGTGATTTTTGAGGTCCAGGTCAAGGTTGAATTTATGCAAGCAACGCTGGCTTCCCACCATCCGGGACCTGATGGAGCTGGGTGTCTACTCCACTCACTGGATGAGACAAAAACCACCCCTCAAAGAACCTTTGTCACTCCTGGGTGTGTGTTGTTTGTTTGTTGAGTTTGAGGTCACCCAGGTCTGTCGCTGTACAGCAGCAGGCTGTCCTTGGAGGAAGTTACACAGCTCGGCCACAACGAAGGTCTGGCGCGTTGTTGCGGGGCAAAGGATCTGACCGGAAATGGAAATTGAAGTAGCAGAAGAAGCTGCTTCGAAGAAATAGTAGTGGTAGTGGTAGTGTAATGTCTGGGGCCAAGTGGCTATAGTCGTAGCAGCAGCAGCAGCAGCAGCAGCAGCATTTGTTGCTCTGCCGGACCCGGATCGCCAGTGCTGCTACCAAATTTTCTTACAGTGAAGTTACATACATGGCATTGCTCTCAAAAGAATCAGGTCAGGTGGGACTAGCTCAAAGTAAAGTAAAGTATATATATATATCTTGCAAGTCACATTGTGGTGCAGTCCTCAGTGGCAATTCAATGATGGTGTCGGCATCAAACCACAAGACATTGAGTTATACATGATAGATGATGTATGATGTGGGAGATGATACCCTTCAGGACAAACACGGTGTGACATCGGGTGTCATGTGCATCTTGTCGCTTGCAACTACTTGCCACAACCCCGCCCACCAAGCTCCAACATGTTCTAGCTTCCCAAATGCTTCCCACATCCCCAGAAAAGTGCCTTTGGCGAGGGAAAAGCCGCCAACCTCAGGGTCTTGAACGGGAGTACCAGATCCGCTGTTTCCGCAACTGTACGTTTTCAACAACAATTATAGAACAACATTGTAAAGCGGAAGGCGGAAGCACATGTCAGATTCGGATTGATTGGTTTCGAGAAAAGCTGTGTGACTGAGGACGTGTTTGCTCTTCTCCAGGGGGAGTCTCCTGCAAACAATTCCACGGTCAAGTGGAGGAAAATAGAAAAATAAGCAACAAGGTTGGTGCAGTTTGCTGACTTTTCCCACCACAAAAATCAATTTCTCATTTCAATTGGGTTCGCTTGGATCCCTTCTTCTATGAATTCTCATGCAAGCGAGGTCATCCCAAATTCACTCATTTCGTCAAGAAGTGCCCCCCTCCAAAAGGTTGATCTTACAAACAAAGGTTATTTTTGAAATAATGAATGCTCCAGCCGCCAAAAGGTCGCTGAAACCTCGCCGGCCGGCAGGGGGACGTGCCGGTGAGCGGCACCTCCCTCGCACACCCTTCAATTGCAAAGAGGTCCGGGAGAGGTCCAGACCTGAATCTAGGAGGTTATGGTACACTAGGAACAAGAAAGCAACTAGAAACAAAGGGCATCGCTACTAGGAGCAAAGGATGCTACTAGGGGCTCCTGGCATCGCTACTAGGAACAAGAAAGCTAAGTTCGTAACAAAGGGCATCGCGAACCGAACGAAGCGATCGGACGCTACATCGATCAGGCGCCGATCACGGCTACGGCGACGTTCGACCTTTCGTCGGGGAAAGGTGGCAAAATCCGATGAGAAGGAAGCAATGAGGTCATGAACCTTAAAATCTGCCCCCCCCCCCAAGCCCCATGCCATAGTATCCCCCATAACTTCATCCCCATGCCCCATGCCCTATGCCATCATTTCCATATATAAAGACATCTTTTCCCACCCCCTACTCCCCACTTCAGGTGCCCACCAGACAGCTGGTTGCGTTCGCCCACCGGCGGCTCCTGCCAACGGCACAGGTGCCCAAGATCGAACGACACGTCTGCCAAAGGAATGCACATGACAGTTGGGACACCAGTATGGTGGTATGGTAGGACCAACTGCAGCACACAGGCTCGCGCCTTGAAGATGTTCACAGGCTTGCCTACGCAGCCACTCACCAGTTTTATTTTGGAAATCAAAAGAAACACCCGGATCTTCGATCGCAAAGTTTGATGCCGATCGTCTTGATGTTCATCGACCAGGTTGATGTGTCCACTGTCGAATCCCTCATCTGCCCAACTCCTTCAGAACATTCCTCCGGCCCAATGGAGAGGTACTCAAGGGCGGCAGCCTGCATTCTTGTCCCACTGGGCTCGCGCAAGAAGAGGCGCTGTGAAGCAAGTGTGTTCAACCCGCCCATATGGTTAATTTCATGGAGCAGCTGGGCCATAACACGATCACTTGATCAACGCATTAATCATTTGACACCTTGCGAGGCTCGAGGCTCTTGGTGACCCAAGGATCCAAACTTGCACGCACATGCAAAGGTATGTCCCCCAAAGTGTCCACGAAAACCACCTCCGAAGTCGACCAAAAGGGTGGCCATGGCCCTGGGGACATCTGCTATATATTGATGTGGTGGTATGGGTGGTATCTGCTATGCACAAATCTACTCTTCAATGATACACGGTTAGAAAAAGACACGATGCACTTTCACCATCCATCTTGTTGGCCTCGCCTGCGCACGTGAACGGCTGCCCCATGCCCCCTGCACCACCGAAAAACCCAGGCGCACGCAATGCGTTCTTTTGCGTCGCCGCGGCCGACATCGGTCTTTCAGCGCTCGGTGAAGCGGGCAGGTGCCGCTCGGAATGCTGGGCCGGCGGACAGTGCTGAGTCAGGAATTCCACCAAGATCGATGTCAAAAGAATGGAGATCAAATATGATAAAGTTCGAATATAGACCAGACTTGTATTCCCATCGTAAACCATGGAATGACTCAGTTTCATCACTGAACAACTGCATCAACCCTCAGAACCGTCAAGAACTGGCTGGCGAGCCCATGGGGTTACAACTAAGAAGGTGTCCCGGGGGGAGCTTGGATAGTCTAACGACCTTGTGAGGAGCTGGTTGGAGCCCAAAAGGGTTCATCAATGTCCAGAAATCCTCTCTGAGAAACATCGTCCTTTTCTAGTTATATCATATCATGTTATAACCCCGATTAACCCCTGCTAATTCGTTCAAAAAAGGGAACTGCCCAGCCGGCCACGCTTGGCATCAGAACAATCATAGACACATCCGCACACCATGTGATGCTAACGTGTGTTGCTCCTCCTGCTTGTTGCTCCTCTTGTGTGCACCGCTTCCGCCATCCACGTCGCCGGTCGACCCGCTCAGGGCTCAAAGCTCAGAGACCTTGTCGCTCGGCACCTGAAGTGACGGCGCTGACGGCTGGGCCACTGCGGGGCGCAGTCCTTCACCGAGATCCTGAAAACACATCTTCTTCACCACCTATAGCCTCTTCACCAGTGGCCTCTTGAGGCTGAAGAAAGGGAAAAGAACACATGAAGGATGTATTGGGTTTGAAGAAGATCTTAAAGGGACCGGACCACCTTCGTTGATCGTCAACGCACCTGAGACGGGACGCCGACAGCAAGCGACGCTGCTCAGCGGCTCCAACATCGACTCGCGACGCCGAAAAAAGCACGGTCACTTGCATTCGGGTGTTCCTCCTGGAGTGAAGGGAGGCTGGAATGAACAACACTACACTGGATCTCCCAGGATCGTCTGGACTTGGACTCTCAGGTCACACTGTTGATGTTAGGAATTTGCTCGTTCCAGATTTTTCGACGAACGGAAGGCGAACACAGAGATCTTCTGGAAGACAATCTTCCTTTGCACATGTTCTTTCTTTGTCTTTCTTTTTGGTCTTCTCTGGTCCATTGATGCGGAAGTTTGATTGAAATTGAATCATTTCCGGGGTCTCGATGCTCCTCGTTTCGCTCTTCTTCAGTGATTTGGACAATCACTTTCTGCATGTGTACCTAACTGATCAAGCTGACTCATGGGTCTTTGTGTGTCTTGCTGGTTGTTGTAGCCAACTTCTTTCGGGAAACACGTCTATCCAAAGGCTGAATGACCTCTTCCTCACGTGAGCTGGAAGCCAATCAGTTTCTCTAATTGTCTCGATGTGAGAAGAGAAGAACCAATGCACCAGCCACGGCGATCCTCAGGTCTGCGGTGAGAAGCGGAGCTGAGGCTCGGGGCCACTGGGGTGCCGGGCGCGACCCTCAGGGGACAGGGAATTCACAACGGCCAAGGCGACTTCCTGCGATGCGCGAAGCGAAAGGTTGAAGGTTGTGAAGCATGGGAACACGCACGAACACCAAACGAGGAAGATTAGAGAACACTAGAAAACAGTCACAAACATCGCAGGGGGGGAGTTTGACATCTTTTGCAAACTATACACTGGACTAGGACTAGAGCACACATGAGCACACAAGAATTTCAGCCCCTCATCAAACAGGTCGTGATTGGCTGAGCACATGCTCTGCGCAGCAAACATGTCCGGAAGCGAAATAAATCACGCCGAAATAGTCTTTTCCAGTCTTCAGGGCTTTGTGCTGCACTTGGCTTGGCTCGTCGCAAGACTCCCAACTTGCTGCCAGCTTTGTTTCCTTGTCTGTTTGAAGGTCATAACGGCAGGACGCAAACATTGGCTGGGCCAAAACCTGACATCGGGATGAGAAGATATGGTGAACCTCCTTCTCAATCTCAGGTGCTTCACGCCATTCCCGTCTGCTGGTCTGCTGAACCCGAATAGACCCGACCCGACGACCCGAATGGACCCGCCGTGGTGCTTTTCATCATCTGATCGGTCCCAAGACACCCATCCGAGGAAAACCTGAGGGGCTGGACGTGAGGTCCAGAAATGCCGTTTGACCTCATTCGCCCGGTGAACACATCAATCCACTTCAGAACAAAGGAACCCTGGCTGCCTGGTTCCGTTCTAAAGGCATCAACCCGTGAACGACCATCCCCATCGGGAAGTTCTTGATTTCGGGTCCAGGATCACCGCAGGGACCACGAGCCACACCACTATGATATTCTCTCACCTTGATCGTGCCCATGTTGCTGCCATCGTCCCAATCCTGCGGACACGACGTCTGACGGGTAACATCCAACTTACGAACGGCCTGCAACCTAGTAGCAAACTATATTATATAAACCCTTCTTCCTTTTCTTTAGTGATGGCCTCCAATATCCTCCAATCTAGAAGCAATGGCCTCCAACCTACTAGCGATGGCCTCCAACCTACTAGGAGACTTCGGGAAAGCCTGAGGCCATGGAGAGCGGAAGCCAAATCATCTGTCTTTCCAGCTGTTAATCCTGGTCTGCTCAACAGGTTCAAGGTAAGCTTCTGAAGCCACAGATTGAGATGATGTAGCCCCTGAAACTGGTCGCTTAAGTTAAGGAACCTTCACTTTGAAGACCCTGGCATACTACCCGTATGTTCCTATAGCGTCACACAAAATATAGTGGTGACAGTGCCCAAGAAGAGGAGAACAACGTGTTGAAGATCCAGATTTGGGTACTTTTGGTTGATTGGACAAGGCTTGCTATGGGTGCAAGGAGTTGAGTAAAAGCCAAGTAGTAGCGTCCTTGCTGTTGCTCCTAGTAGCGATGCCCTTTGCTCCTAGTAGCGTCCTTGTTCCTAGTAGTAAGGCCAGGAGCCCCTAGTAGCGTCCTTGTTGTGAGTCTTGGCACTTTGCTCCAATCTTCAGAAGTGGACATGTCGCTAAAAAGTTGGAACCACCTATACGATCCCGCACAGCCTTGTGAGGCTGCCATGGTGTATGTTTCCAGGCATTTTTTCTCATCACATCTCATCTGTCTGTTGTGATTTCTTGGAAAGTAGTCAAAGGTGTCTGAATCTCTTAAACTCTCAAACAAGAGTAGAATTATGTAGAATTCTTCACACAGCAAGTTGTTGGCTAGGAGCTCAATCGTCCCATATCCGCGCATGTTGCCACTTATGATGATCAGCACAAACTAGTTGTTCCAGCAACATGAACAAAGTGCCACATGAGGTTTCCTGCCAAACATTAATTGCCCAAAGCAGTTGTTCTCCAAACCGTTCCTGCAACAAGTCCTAGGACTGTGAGCAGCCTTTGGGGCTGCTGTTCGATCCAACATTGGTCGTCCGTTTCAGCAGCGCGCGCCAACGAAGACTTGCCTTCTTCAAGTCTTTGGACGGCCTGGCGGCCACGGCATCCAGGTTCTACACAGTGACTTTCGGTTGCCCTCGTCTGAGGGTCATGACTTTGGCCGCAAACGGCCAAACCGAATCCGAAGCTTATCAATGTGGGATCTGCCACTTCATAATGTTCCATGCAGAAATCGGATGCCATCTTGGGGGGTTCATTGGATAATTAGAAAGGTTAGTGGATGATGAAAAGTTCTAGGTAGGAATTGTAGGAACCCAAACCTTTAAGAACATGGTCCACTTTGCAGCTCGCTAGTCTTTACACGTCACAAGGTTCTTCAAAGCGACCTCTGAAAATCAGTCCGAACAAACGAAACACAGCCCTGACAGCGTGACATTGTTCGCTGTGACAAGCACGCGGAGGCGCGAGGTGAGAAACCAAAAGAACCAGCGTGACATTGACGGCGTCCAAACGGCATCTGTCCTGTCCGATTTGAACACATGTTTGAAACCCCTCAAACGGTGTCTTGAAAAATGCCGGCAAAAACAGTGCCGCATGAAGATCCGGGTATATGTGATGCATTGTTTCCCCGGCAAGAACACCAGGATGGCCATGTCCGGGGCTCCAAAGAAAGCCGGGCCAACTGAAGCTTCCCCGTCACAAAGACCGCCACCTGGCCGATGTTTTGTGTCGCGACCGTCACCAAGGTTCCACCGAGCATAGCGGTCCTTGCGACGTTCGTAGCGGTCCTTGCTCGTAGTAAGGCCAGGAGCCCCTATAGTAGCGAACATTGCTCCGTTCGTAGCGATGCCAGGAGCCCCTAATAGCGTCCTTGCTAATAGCAATGGCCTCCAACCTGCAAATTTGGATGTTGTGTAGACTTCAAGGTCAGCCAACTGGAGACTCTGTCGAAAGGTGGCTAAGTAGTCCCAGAAAGGTCATAAAGTAGGTGGATGTTTGGAGATGACGATGACCTCAAACCTCCAAGTGCTCAAGAGGTAGGTACTCACCCTCCAGTTGCTCACCCCACAACCAAACCTCGTGAGGTGATCTACATGGGGACATATCTTGGTACCCAAATGCTACAAAATCGCAACCTACTAGACGTGGTCACTGCGACCGGTGGTTCCAACCCAAACATTGTGATCATCTCAAAGTGCTTGGGGAGCACGCATGTGAAACCTCGCCATGGGCCTCCCCCACGGAGGTCCCGCCCACTCCCACTGATCGACTCGACTCGACTCACGCCCTTTGGAACCCGTCTCTGAAGTCGCCTGGCCCAACGGCACCGCAGAGTCGGGAGCATCCTGACGAATCGGGCGGTTTGAAGCGAGTAAATCCCCGAGTCATGGAGTCAGTACGAATGACTTGTCATGACTTTTCCATTGCAAGCCTTGGGCTGTAAACACGAAGGTTTGAAACTCGCCCAGCTTCTTCGTTTGAATGCTTGCCGCCTTTACGCCCTCAAGGGATTCGTTTTTCGTCACTTCAGTGTCGGTGAGCTACCTGCCATTGGGTCCATCTGAACAGGTTTTCCTGAAGCTTTTCACACAAAAAGAGGCCCTCGAGGCCACCTGCGTCATTGCCACGAAGAGCACTCGCGCGCGCTGCCGCGCTTGCCGCTGCTTGCGGATGGCCTTCCTGAGTGGACGAAACAGATGTGGGGACAAAAACACATCAATCGATGCAGCTACGTTGGGGTTTCACGGTTTCACTCTTCACCGACGGTTATTCAGGGGATGGGGGGTCTGTGTGTGGTTGTAAGATAGAGATCCTACGGGATCCTAAAGTTTCAATGATCCATAGTAACATGTGTTCTTAAAACATGCCGTGGATTTGTTTGGCTATATTTGCATCAGGAATCCACAGGGGTCAGGAAACGGGACTTTGGTGGTTGTAATTCGTCTTTTCCAAGCCATCAGTCAACTTGCAGCGGCCAGCCTGCACCTCCAAATCCTTCTCCGGTGTCCGGATCGTCCACCGCCGAGGCACTTGGAGCTGGCAAAGCTTTCCGGAACCACGAAGACCTCGTTGGGCACCTGACAGACTCGTCGGTGCGAAGGCGCTCGGTGAGACAACGATGTCTTTGTCCGGCAAACAACGGCTGAACTGACGCGTTTCGTTGATTTGCACCAATGATTGGGATGGCACATGAGAGCACCATTCAGCAACTGGTGCCAAACTGGCGGAAAACAAGTGGATGCAAACAGAACTCCACAAATATCATTCACTCATCTACACCATGTGATTAGGTTATGCGAAGACGAGTGTGAACACCATACTCCCACGACCACATCCTATTCAGCTTATCGGTCCAGTATTCGTAACTTCACAAAGAGACAAAAGGAAAGAGAGAGAGAGAGAGCCTAATAGCAATGGCCTCCAACCTAATAGCGATGACCTCCAACCTAATGGAGAGAGAGGGAGAGGGTGAAAGGGAGAAGGGGAACAAAAGAAGTTCGGTTAATCATCCATCACCGCCATTTAATTTGGCAACTTGGCATTCAAGAATTGTCGACCTTCCTCCGCACCACTCAGTGAGTCTCAATACCTCTGCTGGCACCTCCCTCCGCCAGATCAACTGCTGGACAGCAGCCTCGAAGCGTTCAACACATGTGTTCCGGTGCATCACTTAGGCAGTGAACTAATGGGAATTCACAGAATGAAGATCTATGTATTGTGAATCACATCTATTATTTGACTTCACAACATTATATTGTGATTGTTTTGTTTTCTGATTTAACTATATTAACTAACATCTTTGCTTGGTCATTGTGATTAAAACAACATGTCAATGGTTGTCAATGTAAAGCAGCTGTGAATTCACTATATAGAATAGGGAGACCCTCGAACCAATAATAATTGGTCTATTAAACCTGTTCCAGTACACATCCATAATGAAACAACACTTCGAAACACCCATATCAATCGATATCAGACTTCGAAACCGAAAACATCTCTGAAACCAAGAACAAACTCAACTGCTTGGTCTATTCCAGTTCAACTACCCACTCCACTGGAGGGAACCCCCAGTTGGATGAGCTGGGGGGAACTGAACATCGGAGCTCACGATGGAACGCCGGGGATTTGTAACTTTGAAAGTTGGGCTTTGCAAGAAGGCGGGGGAGGAAAAGTGACCGGAGAACTCTCCACCGAAACTGGGCTCTCCCACGCGGAAGGCCTCCACTTTCGATGCCAAGACATTGGCGACCACCAAGACCTGCCACACAAAAAGCCAGTTTAAACATGGCATTGAACCAAAAAAGGGAGGCAGGAAAGATCACTCGCGTGTTGGCCCTGTATTCATTTTCTCCTGGCAAATGTGTGAGCCGCTCAAACCACTTCGTTTTGTCGAGTTCGCCAAATGACGCTGCACTTGTCACGCGCTGCGCGAAAACAACGCTGCGCGTGCCGTGGGCCGCGGCCTCATGTTTCCCTGCTAGCGTCTTCACCTGCGACTCCTGAGGCGCATGCCACGCCACCGGAGGGCCCCCCCGTTCTCTTCGAGGGAAGCAAACATCCTATTTCAGCATCCAAGCAGTACACCGGCTAACAAACAGGATTATGAGATATGGCTCCATACATTCTGGAAACCAATTCAATCTCAACAAAGTAGTCACACATCGAACAAGTGGACGGCTGGATGAACATTAATGGCCGTCTAACCTCTACCAGCCCCAAGATTGGCCAGCAACATTCCCCAAACGCCTTTAAAAGCTCTGCAACACATTCAAGAATTGAACAAACATCCAAAGAGCAACTACCCCAAAACAATCCGCAAGATCAAAGCCTCAATGCTGCACCCCCGAGAGTACTTCCAAAACATATCCAACTCAGCTATTTCAAAAAAAATGAAACATGCACTTATTTTCCCAATGTTCACCGTTCTCCACCCATGGCACCCTTGGTGCACAGGCTCCTTCATCATCACTGAGATCTGCAATGGATCCCCCAACTGGCGCTCTTCGGCGTGTGCATGCATGCGCAGTGAATGGCACCGTGGCGGAAATTGTTCAGGTAGGATTTCTGCTGAACAAACCAAGGTGAAAGGAAGGAAAACGGATGAAGAATGGCCGTTCAAAGCCAAAAAACAACCAGTAAGAAGTCACTATTGGGTGGCCATTCCGGACTGCCATTTCCAGCCCACTCACTGAGATTGGTATGATCAATGACTATACTAATTAGTTACAGGTCGCCAAGTTGTCGGGTCTTTCTGGAGATTCAACACAATTTTCTTATAATATACCCAACACAGACTCTAGAGGAGCGGCCGGGCTCAAGTCAAGAGATTCTGGGTTTCAATTGGAGGTTTCAACCACGGACCATCAAACAGAAGTGATCAGACCTCAATTCTCCCACCCCATTTTAAAAACACCCGTGGGAATAAAATTTGCACATTTCATGGCACGATATGCGTGAGTTCGGAGCCGCGCTGTTCGGTGGCCTCATTGGCAAAGAGCTGCTGTTGGAGGTGCCAAAGCATCATGGCCTGCCCCCACGTGGCCGTGGATGTGTGAGTCATATCACGCACGAAAAGAAACACACGAGATCAGATGCGTCTAAGTTTTTTTGTGCTGAGTGTAGAGAAAAATACTGGTAGACTGGTAGTTAAAAGAAAAAACACTATCTACACGATCTTCCAGGGATTTTGGATGGGTTGTGACAACATGCATCATCTGTGATGGTTTGGGTTGCCAAACCTGCGCCGGAAACGTCCAGCGCCTTTGACTCATGGAGACCATTGGAGACCCGATTCCGGCAAACAATCAGTCTGAAGCTTTTTTGCCGCTTTGGCTCTTCCTTCTCTTCCTGGAGCGTTCATCTGCACCCCCTGTCCGGGCCATCCGCCCGACGAGATCGTGCCACTGAAGCTAAAAGCCGAGCTTCCATGCCGCAGCACAGATTCAGGTGTGCAAAAAGGGAAGAAGTCTGCCAGGAGGGAAAGTGAAATATGAAAGGGACAGCTGCCCACCCTGCCCGCCTCCTACAGCACTTGCACCGAGAGGGAAAGGAAACAAACACCATCAAACACCACCCTATAAATGTCCGTGTGCCGTGGCAGATCCCTTTTGCTTCACGCAAAGCCGACAACTTTCTTGAAGCATCACCAAGTGGCAGACTTGATACTATTAGAGTATCTCACAAGAAAGAAACCCACCCAATAACTGAAGCCCTTCTTCTATGGCGCCGCCTGAGGTGACGTCCTGTCTGCAGCGAATTCCTGCGATGGCGAATTCCTGCGTTCAAAATCTTTGGAATCCCAACTTCCAAAAACATTCATGCTACTCATTCACTCATTCGTGTACAGCGCCCAGCGTTGAGCGCCCTGCGCTGAGGTAGCGCTTCCTGTCCTCGGAGTAGAGTCCTACGCGACGGAAGCCTGCAGTGAGTTGGATACTTTTGCCACATGTGGCACTACAAAGCTCTCCATCTGGTGTCAAAGGGTCCGGGTTTCAACGGCATTTAGTTGATTTGAGAGGATGTTGCATTTGCCAGCAACATTACACAAACAAGTCTAAGTACTTGCAAGTATCACCCCATAAGGGGCCAGAGGACTTCCTTCGAAAGAAGCATAGTTACAAAACAAAGTCCTTGTATTATATTTATACTAATTACATCTAATTACGACTATGTGATTCAAGAGAAGTATCTGGCGCCACCTTCTGAAGTTCGAGGTTGGATCGTTGCCATTGACCCTTGGGAGGGTCACTTCAAACAACCTTCCCAAAGCACTGGGGATGGAGGAACTGAAGAACGCCCGTGCTTTCCGGAACCGAACACCCCCTTTCTCGTTTCCCATCACCCGAAGCCAAATCACCGTCTGCCATGCGCCAACTGGGCACGTCGCACAAAAACGCTGCGACCTGAGGATCACAGGCAACATCTTGCCCATCAGTTCAGGCACAGTGGCTTGGTATCAGAATAGACCTCCAAGCCACTGGATGTTCGTCCCTTTTCTGACGCATCTAAGGGGGTCCACCCTAGTTCAATCCAGGCAGGATCACCTGTAGCCTCCTTTCTGTATAAAACTGCCCCATGAATGCACCCATCCAGCTAGTGGTCGCAGTCAGGATTTGGATCGATGTCCGCCACACGCCATCACAGCCAGCGCGCGCACGCGACTGCTCAGCGCACTTAGCGCTCTTTTCTGTTTCCTGAACTGCAGCGGAGTGTGGTCTCAAACAAGTGGAGTCCAGCTAGCGAAACACCACGCCCTTCAGGTCGAGTCGCATCTTGCGGGGATCGCCCTCACCTGGCTCGCCCTCAATCTCCCCCATGGACATCTGAGCCACAAAGGCGGAGCGCGTTCCAGGCGCTCGGAACTTAACGCGTTTGCAAATATCAGTCGAGCGCTCTGCATGGTGCCAAGAATTCAAGTGGTGTTGAATGAAGCCTTGCACTGCTGACGCACTCTTGGTGCTGATCCAATTCATGATGTTCATGGTCTTGGCGTCGTGGAAAACAATGTTCACGGAGGAGACCCCAAAATCCACCGGCCTGACTTGCAACCAAGCTGAGACACACCAGAACGCAACTTCTGCGACTTCTCTTTCTTCAAATCCCAACAGCTTGGTTTCTCCCAATTCCAAAACTGCCACAGACTTGGGAGAGTATCAAATTGAGCAAAACACAAGGAGGTTCTTCACCCAAAGTTCGTTCAGCTCAGCGACTCTACGGCCAGTGAAATCCTGAGCCCCGGATCCACGAGAGACGGATTCGCTGTGAGCTTTTATTTTTTACTTTTGTTAAACAAAAATTGTAATTAGATTAAACTTAATTCTAATATAAGCTTCTTGTTACTACTAGTAAGGCACTTGTTCAAAGGAAGTTTAGAAGGAACTTCCGTGTTACGAACATTTACATCACTCATCATACACCACTCATCACCACTCGTCAAACCACCACTCATCATACACCACTCATCAGATTTCGTGGCAGGTGCAGCAATTTGTGAACCTAATGTGCAGATTTCGTGGCAGGTGCAATGCAAAATGCGTTTTCGAGAGATAGCGGACGCGCGAAATACTGTATTTATTTTTCAATAGCACCGGTGGCTTCGAACCTGGCAAGTCTAGCTCTGCGGAACGACTGTTGCGAGACGGTCTCGGGTCATGCTCGGTCGGCCGTCCATTGTGATTAGGTTTTCACTTGTCTCTTGAAGTGCAGATTTCGTGGCAGGCGCAGCACTTTGTGAACCTCCATGTGCAGATTTCGTGGCAGGCGCAGCACTTTGTGAACCTCCATGTGCAGAT